CCATGTACTCATTCAATTCGCCAATCAGGTTTGCCCACTTCAGGATGACCAACGTTTACAGCTCTGAAGTGTCACCGTGACAGCTTCGTGCGAACTCACTGCTTAGCTATCCGTAGACAGACCTCACTTGATGTCATTATTAGTGTCCATCAGATTTTAGCAACAACCTGCTCAATGCAGTCGACGACGGCTCTGCGTCCCTCTAGCCTGATGACGGCATCGTTGTGGAAGGCGCCCTGCACCGTCTTCTTCTCTACCTCGAGCCCGACCTCCTCGCAGCGCCGGACCAGCTTCGCGCCAAGCTCGGCCGGCACTAGCTCGTCTCTGCCAGCTTCCACGATCGTAATGCGAGGCCTCTCATAGATCCTCGACCCGGACCAGTTCCCGGCGATCGTGGCTAGGTTCGTCCAGCTGTCTAGGTGATTCCGGAGAAACGGCCAGAGATGACGGTACGGCACCCATTTCTGGGGATACAGTGTCGCTAGCATGTCCTTGACGGACGTGAAAGGTGTCTCGAGGATGAGCGACCGTAGCCGCAACGTGGGCGGGAACGCCTCCCACGCGGCGAGGTTCGTGGCGACCCCAGCGCCGATGCTCTGACCCCAGAGTATCACCTCCGGCGTGGGCTGGTGCCCGTGGACGTCGTGCTCGCTGTGCACCCGCCCAATCCAGTGCAGAGCCGCCCGCGCATCCAGGTTGATGCCCTTCTCGGAGGGACGACCCCTCGACGTCCAGTACCCGCGGTAGCTTAAACACACAAATGTGTATCGCGCGGGCCGTTTGCTCTGCTGCAGCGACTGTAGGACCCACGATAGGTCGGGCAACCGTGGGGGAATGGACGAGGCGTTTCCTATTTTTCCCCAATGCATGAGCCTTTGATCGTTTGGAGAGGCAAAAGGGGAAAAGCTATGCGCCAGCCAGGGTATTGGAACGGGGACGAGGCGGACCCTGAAAGTAGAGGATGTAGATGGACGGCACCGATAGAGTATCGTCGAGCGACGTGGTCTTCCTCCCACCAGTCGATGTCGCCGAGGCCACGCAGAGGGCTAGATCCGTCCCATCGGCGGCTCGGATCCTCTTCTCCTCCCACTGTACGCCCCAGCACTGCTTCGCGTAGTCTTGGATGCGCTCTCTGCGTGCATTGGGTGGCAGGCCTGGCATGTAAATGATCTTGTTCTGGAAGATGATCATTGCGAGACACTTTTGCGTCCACAGAGTGAGCAGAAGGCCGGTGAAGACGAGCGGTGGTAGATAGAGCGCCTCAGCTCTGAAGTGCCGCTTGTGAGTGAGGCCAATGTGCGGCGTCACAAGCAGTTTCGGCATCGACTGCCGCTGAGACGTGGCTCGCCATGGTGGCGTGACGGGAAGTGCTTGCAGACGGCGAGGACCATGTAGAAGCTGCCCAATGGAGGATGTGCGTATAGCATGCATCACGGTTGCTCGCGAGACATGGAGGCGCGTATCAGGCGCGGGTGGATGATGTGGTGTTAGGTTGAAGGTTACGGAACTAGACCCTGAAATGCGGATTACCTCAAACAGAAGCGTTACGTACCCTGAAAAGAGGGGCGGTTCCTGACGGCGGCGGCTGCTGCTGCTGCTGCTTGCGCAAAAATCAAAGATGGAGAACGTTGGTTGGGAGTAGGTATCGCGGACTACTGTATAGAGTGACGGGCCATGACATGGTGCGCATGTGGTCGTGTTCGAACGCGACTGGGTTCAATATGGCCGGCATGCAGGCGGTCCTATTCCGTTCAGAGAGCTTCGGAGGCAACGTTCGAATTCGGCGTTGGCGGCAAACGAAGACGGACTTGTTGAATAAGCACCACGATTGCAGGTCGGGGTCCAAGGATTCCAGCCCAATGGTCGACGATCTGCATTCGTCCATCAATTGCAACAGTGATTCTTATCCGTCTCGAGGGCTCTTTGGGTCTCGTACCATACTAGGTATACCTAGGCACTCAAAGAGGAACGGACCATGGGCAGGGTTCCGCCATTGACACAATCTGGTGTGTAGATGGAAATGGAAGATGTGGTAGAGACATTGCTCTGTCTGAGACAAGGCCGCTCTGTGACACGGGCAGGCCAGACAAATCTCAGCTTGACAGCCAAACAGCCTGCAACAATGGCTTTCTAGAGGCGAGTGTCGACCCATGTGGTAAGATAGTCATTAAGCTGCTCTATCTGCTGCTTCACTATCCGTTCGCTTCAAGAGCATCATCATCATCTCATTCCACGGCGTGATTCTCGCCCTCTCGGTCCATTTAGCTTGGTACGGAGTACATTACCTACAGTGACAGACCCAGTGCCCCCGCCTCCACTGCTACTCGGGTAAGGTAGGTACTTTCTAGCAACATTGAGACGTCATAAGGTACTCTAGAGCCAAACGGCCCTCGATGGATTGCTGGAACCAGCCTGCCAATCCTGCACTCGTGAATAAGGTCAGGTATCCAGCAGCGGGACGAATGGAAAAGGCAGGAGAGGGGATGAACCGTGAGGTACCTTACGTAGTGTAAAGTAGACGACAGGCCCAGCCATCTCGTCACTTCTCAACTTCAGAGAGCTTACCTCATGGCAGGTGTTCCCAAACCCCCAGGGGCAGGGCATGTGCTGTGCTGTGCTGTTCCCCTCCCCCGCCCAGAACCGGCACCAATACGGGGACCAGGCGGTCGGGGAAGGCACCTTATCCACATGTGCGGTGTGTGAGTGTGAGTGTGAGAGCAAGCGGGCGTAACTAATAAATAAAGAATCAGCCGCCCTCGAAATTGGACGTTGCCTTGATTTACGCCGCAAAATCGCACAACCCTTCCTCCCCATACCGTACTACCTTATACCTTGGCATGTGCAACACTGGATCTTGATTACCTATCGGTCCATCAGTGAACAATCCCTCTATTTCTGTCCTGGTGCCCATTTCCTCCCTCCAGGTCCTCCAAACCATCCCACTTTCTTGATCAGATCTTCCCACCCCGCCCCGCCGAGAATTCACCGCCGACTTCAACAACCGCCTTTTTTCCTCGTTTGCTCATTCCCACCCCGCCACTCTTGAAATCTCCAACATCACTCGGACGGAACCACGACCGAGCCAAGAAACCTTATCTTGTTACAGCAACCACCGCGACAACCCCGAACCGATATCGAATCCCGCCCACCATGCCCGGCTCTGTAGATCCCACCACCCCGACAGAACCCTCATCGCCGAGGCACTCCCCGCGCATCGAGCTCCCAGAAGAAGACGCCAGCGCCTCCCCGCGGACAGACGGCCAGACCAGCCCAGGCCTCAGGAACAGCAAAGGATGGGACGGCAAGCTCAGGGTTCAGCGTACCGCCGTCCTCGCCAACCCAGAGGTCCTCTCCGATCCGGAATCCGATGACGAGAACGTCCTTCCGGGCGAAGAACTACCCGCTGACGAAGGCAAGTCTTCCTTACCTGGCGCGCTCTTCCTGCGCTGGGCTACAAGCGCGAGGCGAGGCGTGTTGCATGGGAAACTAACACGCCCAACCCCATCCCACAGATCTACTCGACGGCGAAGACCCAGAAACAGACGAACTCATCGTCTCTCACGCCCGCGTCTCCTCCATACCCGCCCTCCGCCTCGAACGCTTCCAAAAGGTGGTACGCCTCTGCCTCCGCCAGAACTCGATCCAGTCCATCGACGGCCTCGCCGCCCTCGCGCCCACCCTCGAGGACCTCGACTTTTACGACAACCTCATCTCCCACATCCGCGGCCTCGACGACCTCGTCAACCTCACCTCCCTCGACCTGAGCTTCAACAAGATCAAGCACATCAAGCGCGTCAACCACCTGACCAAGCTCAAGGAGCTATTCCTCGTCGCCAACAAGATCTCCACAATCGAAAACCTCGAAGGGCTCGATGACCTCACCTCGCTCGAGCTCGGCTCCAACCGCATCCGCGTCCTTCAGAACCTCGACTCCCTGAAGAAACTCGAGGAGTTCTGGGTCGCCAAGAACAAAATCACCGAGCTCACGGGGCTAGGCGGACTCTCTAACCTGCGCCTCCTCAGCATCCAATCCAACCGCATTCGCGACCTGGCGCCCTTGGCTGAGGTGCCCGGCCTTGAGGAACTCTACATCTCTCACAACGCCCTCACCTCCCTCGCCGGTATCGAAAAGAGCGAGAAGCTGCGCGTACTCGACATCTCCAACAACGCCGTTGCGAGCGTTAAGGGCCTCGCGCCACTCAAGAACCTCGAGGAGCTCTGGGCCAGCTATAATCAGATTGGCGACTTCAACGAGGTCGAGAAGGAGCTCAAGGACAAGGAACACCTCACGACGGTCTACTTTGAGGGCAACCCGCTACAACTTAGAGGACCCGCGGTGTATCGCAACAAAGTCCGTCTGGCGTTGCCCCAACTATCCCAGATCGACGCAAGTGAGTACATCAGAAGAAAAACCCCATTACTGTGAAAGACTACTTGCTGACAAATCGCTCCAGCCTTTGTCAAAACATCATGATTTTCAGGCACAGCGTTCTAGCATGAGACTTACGAGGCTGGCGTGGCGTTACAAAGGCGTTTGATTAGAAGATCTGGGTGCGAGGGCAGACATCAATGGACATATAAGGGCCTTTCTTCACCACACCAGATATTTCTCGGCACACACATGCACGGTCACACATACTCAGCTACGCTGTTTGGCGAGCATGAGGACATGTTGACAGGTATGATGCATTCTTCAATGGGCGGGCGGCTTTTTCTGACTTTGGGCGTGTAAACGCTGCATGTCACGGGCGAGCGGGATTTCCAATCTGGCTTGGTCATGGCTTTCGTTGTATTTTAGCGGCAGATCATAGTCTTGCCAGGGGAGAGGGTATCTAGATACAATCGACGTACGTCGTACGTGGTTTGACACATGTCGGACAGATTTCCCACGCACACCGCCAGTTGCAGGCTACCAAAAGGCCGCTCTCTGAGGAGTGGTATGGGTAGTTATGAAGTGCGATAAATCAGGCAAAATGGATGGGATGTAAAATTCAATCCACTTAACCAAAGATCCAAAGCTTCTCAGTGGGGAAGTACTATCATGTCTTGTTAGCTGACAATCATAATGAGAGGGTCAACAGATGAGGGTAAACTCACGTTTGCGGGCTGGTTGAAGCGAGTCTTCCTGTCAAGGGAGCTGATCTTGTCGATCTCGGACTGCTCGAGGTCGAAGTCGGTGACAGACAGGTTCTGGGCAAGGACGTGCTTGCGGCTGGTCTTGGGGATGACAGCAAGACCACGCTGGGTAGCCCAGCGGAGAAGGACCTGGGAAGGCTCCTTGTTGTGCTTCTTGGCAATGGCCGTGACGGTTGGCTCCTCAAAGAGAGGGACAAAGTCGGTAGCGTGCTCCATGTTGAACTCCTTGAAGGAAGCAGGGCCGAAGGAAGAGTAGGCGGTGACGGCGATGCCCTCGTTGGCAGCCAGCTTGATCAGGTCAGGCTGGACCAGGTAGGGGTGGTGCTCGATCTGCAGGGTAGCAGGAGGGATCTTGGCGTAGCGGAGGAGGTCGTAGAGGAGCTGGCCCTGGAAGTTGGACACACCGATGCTCTTGGAGAGCTTGTTCTCAACGAGGCTCTCCATGGCAGTCCAGGTCTCCTGGATGGAGGCCTTGGAGGGGCGGATCTCGGACTTGCCATCGTAGTGCCAGCCGGGAGGGTATCTGACGGAGGGGTCGACGTACTCGAGGGCGACGGGGAAGTGGATGAGGTAGAGGTCGAAGTAGTCGACGCCCCAGTCGGCGAGCTGCTTCTTGACGATGGGCTCTACGCGCTCGCCATCGTGGAAGGTGTTCCAGAGCTTGGAGACGATGAAGAGCTCCTCACGCTTGACGAGACCCTCCTTGATGGCGCGGGCAACACCCTGGCCACACTCAACTTCATTGCCGTAATCTAGACAATTGACAACGTTAGTTACGTGTTATCCCCATAGCACAGTTGAACGTCATGGCGAATCAAAGTGTGTCTGATTTGAGTTGTCCATGTGTGATGGATTCGGGGAATGCGGGAGCGTAGCCCCGAGTGTAAGTGGATGGCATTGGTGAGGGTAGTGAGGGGAGTGACAAGTGGCAGGGCAGGTCGGGGGGAGGGGTGCGAATCCCGGGTGAAGTGCAGGGGTGGCTGCGGAGAGCTTTCCGGGTGAAGTTGTAGCGCATGGGGAAAATCCCCATCGGTGCTCTGCAGAAATTCGCACCGATGATCCATGGTGGGGTTTAGGAGGGGTAATAGTTGGCTTCTCAGGAAGAAATTATGGAGGGGGGAGAAACGCAGCAGACCACCAACACCAGCATCAATGGCAGCGCGCAACGCGTTTTTCTGCAAGAGAAACCTGTCCAATTGCTTCCTGGTTGCCACGCAGTTGCCGCCTGTCACTGAAGCTGGGTTCATTGCGCCGCAGAATGCTTCCTCTTGCTCTCGCTCTCACCACACCATTGACAGTGTACGCTCGTGCTTGTGGGCTGTTCACTTACCGCAGGCGCCGTCAAACAGACGGTATCCGGCCTTGATGGCCTCGTAGACGGTGTCGGCGGCAATGTCGTTGTCAACCTTCCACAGACCGAAGCCCACTTGGGGCATGTCAAAGCCGCTGTTCAGCTTGATGTTGGGGACGGCCATGATGAATGGTAGCTGTCGTTGTTCTGGGAAGTAGGTTCGAGAGTATAAGATCAACGAAGCGTGGCAGAACTTGAGAGAGAGAAGAGGAGAGGGAGAGAAGGAAAACACAGACAGCACTCAGGGTCGGGAAGAGGGACGATGTATGTATTTATAACCATGGCACCAACGTCAGGTGCTCTAATACGCGGTTGCCAGGCAATGTAGAGTATTCGTCTGGCCCGGAAGGCAAGCTTGCTGAGTCCTAGGGCAAGTAGACCAATTGCAACTTCCTGGCTTTCCCATTGCCCGCGTCGATAACCTCCACCTGTCCCCGGCCGGCTGCATGCTTCCAGACACCCCATGGTGCCGTCACCATACATATTTGCGGCGATATCTAGGGCTCAAGAGGCTGGCGGGGTGAAAAGGGACCGATAGGATAAAAAGTGACACACAGATCGCCTTCCCCAAAACCAACCAAACCAGCCAGGGGGTCCCCGCCGGAGGATAGAAAGCTAGCTGGTCGTTCCGAGCCCGTGACACGTCGACATTGGACGATGTGAAATATCCATAAGTGTAGTGGCCGGGTAATGTTACGGGCAGGAAGAGGCACCTCAGACGGAGAGGCGCGCGTGGATAAGCCGGCCGGGCTTCATGTGGAGATGGGGGGGGGTGGGTGGTTGCTGGCTCACTGCTACAGAATGACACGCGCCCATTTGTGCGTTTAAATCAGCCTGTGAGGACTTGAGCTACGGTCGACCCAGGAGACTTCCATTGGGGTAAATTGGAGTTCAAGCTTCCCGCTGCTGGCTGTCAAGGTCAGGGTCCCAGTTTGCAAAGTTTCGCGGGATGGAAGCCAATATGCATGGGAATTGTGATTTTGGCAGCCCTTCCTTTGGGTTGGTTGGTCCCAGGGCGGCTTTCCTGCCCTGCCACTGGTTCCCTTTGACTCTACCTACTAAGAAACCGCGGCCAGCTGACGCTGTGCCTCCCTGTCACTCATGTTGGTACAGGAATGCCGTATTGTGACAGATTTCCCGCAAGTGTCACTGCCCCCTCAGGTGTGCCTGTACTCTGAACGAAAGGAGTTGCTTATTCTTCTCCTCGGTTACCGTTTTCTCTTTCCATCGCAAGCGTAAGTATCCGCCTGTTCCTGGCCTGGACCTTCTCAACGAGCATCGCTCTTTACCTACCTCAAGGGCCCGCACGAGGTGCTATTGTGGAGAATCGATTTCGCCGAGACCCGTTTTATTTTGCATTTAGCCTGAATGCTGTTCGGCGCGGCTAATTGGTTTCTCTTCTTCCATCGTCAACAGCTTGCTGGACTTCTATCCGCAGAACTTCACCAGCAGACCTTCACCCGCTGAGCCCGGCAGAGAAAACGTCTCTGTGCTCCCGAGTTCCGATTGATCAACGCTACTGAATACTACACAGCGCCTTGTACAAGCCGTCGTTTCCTCAATTGCTAACCACACCAATTACACATCTTCTTGGACGCCACTCAGATGCCAGATCTCTGGGTTGCACGGTGGCTGGAGTCAGATAACACTAGGTACTTTACTACCTACCTACTTCACACCAGCATCGATCCGAATCTTCACGCGGAATGTCGCACATCCCGTCACCTCATTCAGTGCATCCTCGGCCCATTTGCCGGAGCGCCTCGTATCCACGTGGGTGGGCGCGTGGGGTCATTCCGGACCTGAGACCCTCTCTGCACCTCACTTCATCCGGGTGGATCCCACCATGAGATGAATCTGAGCCTCATCCCGCTGCTTTCTTATTGACAAAACTGCATTTGCACCCGAAGTGACCGGACTGAAAGCCTCACAATTACTTGCCCTCGGCTTCAACTGTGTTTCTCCTGAAAATTTGTTGATATTATGACGAGAATAAACCAGGACCTTTATAGTGGCCTTTGTCTCGTGGCCTCGATCGAGTGCCTGCGTTGAAATTGTTCGCTGACTTGAGAAGACTGATAAAGCGGTATTGTTCGTTCTGCTAATGAAACGCTTTTACGCCAGCGAAGACACAATTAACTCAGAGCTTTCAAATACTTTCATTCAAGTGGCAGGGCATGTAAAGGCATTGACTGCTACAAAGAATGGCGCACTCTCAAAGCCATCGCAAGTATGCGGTACCAATTGTTCTCGAAGACAACCACTGGATTACTTTGTTTCTTGCTTGCATACCAGTCCTCTATTGAACGAATGATGAAGAAACATTCGAAGGAAAACACATACATATAATATAATTGACTGTCACTGGCATTTGAATTAGAAAAAAAACAGAGACATACTCATCAAACACATCAGCATCATCACTCACACTTCCAATTTCACAACATCGAAGCAAGCGGGCAGGTACCATCGCGCAACTATATCCAATCAAGTATCATCAGCATGTCACAGAATCCTACTCATCAGGTCCAGGTAGCCATGAACAATAACGGCCCTGACCTGGCCGCGCAGCAGGCTCTGAATCAAGCGTGGGTAGAGAAGCAAAGGAGAATAAAGTTGGTGAACAGGATCACAGCGAGAATGGGTGCCGAGAGGGGTGAGCAATATCTGCAGTACGACATGAACGGCAACGTCCGTCCTTATCGTTACGGTTTCCCGACCCCACCCCCTTCCGACCCAAGGATCCATGGACCCAGTGTGAGGTACGCTTCCCGTTACTTCGACTCGACCCATCTAGATGAGGCCCAAGCCAAGTACGGGGGTCAAAAGCATCCCAAGGGTTACAATATCCGTCTAAAACGTATTTTGGGAGCAGGGGGCTACGGATTCGCAGCTCACATCGTACACAAGGACCCCAGAACGGGCTTCAATACTGACTGCGTGATCAAGATTGAAAAGTCTCGTCACCACAACAAGTCGGCGCTGAAACGAGAGGAGAAGGCTCTCTGGGTGAGTACTCCGCCGCTCTGGATCGTGTAGTCTTTTGAGTATCTTCCTGACGTGTTACAGAAATTCGTAGGCGCACAACATATCCTGCAGATATCGGACATCACTCGAGAAATCCAAGCAAAAAGGGCTGCTGACCTGACTGCGCACCAGAATAGCCACCCCCCCTCCCCCAGCTGGGGCCAAGTTGCCCGACCCAGAGATCCAAGACAAGAATTGGACTCTCAGGGACTTTGAAAAACAACCCATTCGCAACTTTGTCATTCTCGAGAACGCCAATCTCGGTGACCTAGGCTTGTGGATCAGCAAGTCTAGCCGTCTTGGAAAGCGTTGGCCTCAGAGAGCCATCTGGATGCTCTTCCAAAATCGTAAGTCTATGAAATATCCTGCCCGATGACCTTTAGATAGTGTTACTGATTTCGCCTTGACAGTCGCCCTCGGTCTGGTTGGTATGGGTTACCCTCTGAGGGAACATTACGAAGCTTCGCACCCAGATTGGGAGTATCAGAAGCCAATTGACGAGGAATTCCCCGATGACCCAAAAGTCGAACTCCAGGAAACCGTGCACTTCGATCTTGACCCCAGAAATGGTAAGTCTATTGAGAACTCTGACTTTCGGGAACAAGGTACTAACTTGCGCAGTTCTTTTGGCGAATAGATCCATGTTTCACGGCAACTTCCCGACTTTCAAGGTATATATAACCTCTCACTCATTTTCAAGAAGGTCGTACTAACAGTTTTCAGATTGCCGACTTCGGATTGACCGAGTTTTTCAGCGAGTATGAGAATGACCCCGAACACTTCAAGTAAGTTAATGCTCAAAGGACTGCTATGAGCTTTACGTAACTAACTTTTCTTCTTCTACCAACAGTAAGGAGTTTTTCTTGCACTGTCGTTGCAGAGGAAAGCCCGTTTACTACGCACCCGTAAGTCACCGGTCACGTTGCGTGAATTACAATCGCTTCTACTAATATACACTGTCTAGGAACAATTTACCAGAGAGTGGGAGCAGGTGAATGACATCATCGACGACGATGGCATCAACCACTTCGTGGCTGACGATGGAACGAAGCCGCCAGTTGCTGGCAATTACGGGATGCATACAAACATCTTCCAGGTGGGCATCATTGTATGTTGGCCATTCTGACCTCCATTTCACCGTGTTATCTGAGACTAACAAGCTTGAACAGATCTGGTGCGCCATTACTCTCTGCTCATTCCAACAGGCTGCCATTCGTGTCCATTACAAAGACGCTTGGGGACGAGACATCACCACCTACGGAGGCGCCCTGCAGAGTGCACAGTTCAACGACATTGATCCTGCACTCAAAGACCTGGTACAGAGATGCATGGCCCATAACCCCTCTGATCGCCCAAATCTGAGAGAGCTGGTTGCCACGATCAACAACCGTCTCGCCAGGAATGACCTGGAGTCGGAAGATGCTCTGGCCGCGTGGTCCCGTGACTTCTTCACAACCCCTCGTGTTCCCGGTGACGAACCCCCTCGGGTCAAGCGTGAACGCGAGGACGAAGGGGATGACGCGCAAGGCGATGCTGGAAGGGGCGCATCCCGGCGTGCCGTCGACGATGGCAATGGCCACCCCGTTGCACTGGAAGTTCAGAGGGTGCAAGCCAGGCAACAGGGAGTCGCTGATGAGCCGCTGCTCCTCGACGTCTTCCAGCCTCCGGTACAGCCTCAGCCTGTACAGGGAAATAATCTTCTCGGGCAATCATCTAACAACGGCCCCGTCGTCGCCCCTGGCTATCCAGCCCTATCTCCAATGCCCATGATCAGGGAGGAAGGTGCAGCGGCCGCACCTGTATTCGTCGGCCTCAACAACCAGTACAACCAACCTGCCGCCGTCAACCCACCCGGCGGCTTCGACGTGAGAGCTCAGGCGGCACCGCAGGCGCAGTGGCAACCGCAGATGCCAGTCATGCGGCAGCCCAACAATATGAACAATAACTACATGTTCAACTACGCCGTGCCGAATCCCATGGTACAAAATCCCGATTTGGGAGCTCAAGCAGGTCTAGCGGCATACCGTCAGGCCCAGGCAATTCGGGGCGCGGGACAGATTCCGTGGAACGCGTATGCCCCGCCAGGTGAGCCCTTTCTTCATCAGCCAGTGCCAAATGTTCAACCCCCTCCGCCTGAAGCTATACAGCATCAGGTCGCGCCGCCTGATGATCCTAACCCATACGCCCAAGTCTGGCGATTCAACTCTGTCCACCAAGGGCCTGCCGATCCTGAACCATATGCTCAAGTTGGGCGACTGGGTCTCACGCGGCAAGAGCAGCAGGCGCGGCAAGAGTGGCAGCAACAGTGGCGACAGCGGCAGCAACAGCAAGAGCGACAGTGGCAGCTAGAGGAACAGCAACGGCAGCAGAGACAACAGCAGAGACAACAGCAGAATCAGTACATGCAGGACCCTGGCCCTTCTAGGCAGCCTCAAATGCAGATGCAGGCTCTTCTCCAGGATGCTCAGCAACACGATATCGGAGGTAACGAGATGGATATCTTTGAAGAGTTTATCAATGACCCCGATGCCATGGAGCAGTGAGCTTGTGGGTCAAAGTCATTTAGCTTTGTCATTTCTCCCGCCTTTTGTAAAGAACTGTAACGGATCTAGCATAGCGAATGGCGCGTGGTTTGAATGAAGATAGAGACGGCCGGTGCCGTCTTTGGTCTATAGATAGGTACATGCATTTTTTAAAGAAGATTCGGGATTGAACAATGGTATATAAAGAATGTTCGCGAGGTGAACCGTTGGCTTGTATGTTGTTAGATTCACACTTGCTTTTGGGGCTCTTGGCTTTGCTTGAAGCAGGCGTCTGGTGTTAGATAATTTACATGAACAAGACGATAGAAATGCGTATGCTCTACTAAAAAGCAAGAGAGTTATTGCAACAAGATTACATCTCGTGTGTCCTCGGGATTATCTCATAATAAGGCTCTGTGGGTGTTTGATGACCCGAGCCATCGCCATCACCATGAAACTATGCAGACCCTAACTTTATACTAAGCTCTATATACTTTGGCTGGTTCATAGCAACGGGTGAGAGGACAACTTGCTCGGCGATCTTCTGGCACTTCAACCACCGGCAGTCACCTCTCGGGATCTCTTATATCTTCTCCCACTTGTCGCCTTTCTTCGCGCACTAGATATACCGATTACCTCCAGTCAGGGTGTAGCGACAGTCCAACAAAGGGAGCTCATCATCCAGGAATCGACTGGCCTCTCTGTCGTTACACCCAGTCCGAATGCAATATATATGAGGGAACTGAGCAGAGAAGTCGAGGATCTCAGGACCAGGGATAAAGGGGGTTTCTGGGAGTTCTGGGGGTCATCGGCAGGGTCTCCCTCAGAGCTCGAAACAGAATCGTCGGAGTTTCGAAGAGGTTGACCTAGTTGAGCTGTCGGAAGGGGTCGCGTCGACAGGGTCACTAATCGCGATTGGCTAGCAATTCTCCTCGGCACAAATGGTCACTTAAGTTCAGCTATCCGCTTCTTTTAATAACGCTGTGTAGTTGACGTATTCATCAACGGATACGGGGTTCGTGAAAGGAGCTGACGAATAGGGAGGTGAAAATTTAGAGATAAACGACGTGATGTCGAACGCTACCGTTATAGTCAGATGGGACAGGTATTGACAAGGCTCTCTTGCTCCCTCGGAGTACTACTGGGCGGACAGTCTTCGGCTTGTGGGAAGAGACTACTGTCTGGCTGCGATCCTGCACTCGTATTAAATAGGTTCCAATAACCCCTTCGGAGACATTTCTTTGCCGGAGCGCGAGCGCTCAAGACAGGAAGGGACTGAGGTCGATGCACGTAGTATATAAATCGAGCTATCGGGCGACTCATTGTCCCAACGCATCGAGCTGTATTGTAGCAAGTGCAGCCGGGCCAGTTCTTCGATGGTCTTCGACGAGACTACCCCTGCTGGTGGAATTCAGGCTTGCTGATGGAAGCTTCCTTTAAGCCAATGTGCTCGATTGTCTTCTGTACTCGTCTTATAAAAGGGAACTTGAATACCGCATTCCGTGGCCTCGCTTGGTCCGTCACGTATTCGTGATGGGCGAAGCAGCCGACGAGCAGAGGCTAAGAATAAGGTGGTGAAGAGACTCTATGCGGACGTAAACGGTGGATGGATAGAAAACGCACACCCACGGGCTGCTTACACGCATAGTTTGATTAGTGAATTGTCATGGATGAATATGCCACAAACAGCTATCAGAATAACGTAGCAGAGGTCATGCTCCGGGTCAAGCTTTGGCGGCCTCTTTAGGCATAAATACGTTGATGAACTTTATACTAAACGTCTTTGGCTCAGTGCCTAGCCACACATCAAAGGACTCGCTAGACCAGATAACAAGGCCATGCCGGGGGGGGGGGGGGTTTGCCCCCTGGCTCAGGCTTTGACAACTTATCAAGGATTCAATACTCACGAGCTCGAGCTTTACCGAAAGCTTTCCCCATAGCCAGATGAAGGTACTTACGATTTTGGTATCATGACATCTCAGGGTTCGTCCTGCGCATCAGGCTTTGGCAACATCTTCAGTTCCAATACATCGACGGGCTCAGGGTGTGTTGTAGCATCAAGGCCAGTAGGCATGAATAAGACGAAAGTATGCGCGGTCTTTATATCACGGGACGATGAAAGAAGTTTTTACACAAAAGAGATATATCTTCCAATATAGGGTATCTTTTCAAAAGTCTAGTCGTGATGCCTATGCCATCCAAAACTCCTCCTGCTATGTACACCGCACCATCTCCAAAACCCAAACGCCGAAGCCCATATAACCCTCAATGCAAAAAGTACCGACATTTCTTATGCCTGCCAATCTCTCCTCGTCTTCTGCTGCGAAGTCAAGTCGTAGTTGGCATATCTGCACTTACACTGCTCCCTCCCCGCCGCAATGGTGACAGCGTTGCCAGCTTTATCCTGGCACTCCGGACCCCCTTTCTTGACCTGCACGATCTCTACCTGGCCGGGCCACGGTCCCCACTTGACGTTTCCGTCAGTGCTAGTCGCGTTGACCCCAGACGCAACAGTCCCGAGCGGCGTAGTCGTGTTGCGTCTCGTCCAGAGAGTTGCGCGGAAGGCCGTATCGGAGAAAGTGCAGGTCGCGGCGCGTCCGTCTTCGGTGATTGCCTCGGACGGAACCACGGTCTTGGGAAGGGAAAAGTTGAAGACGAGACGCTCGTTGAGTGTGTTTCCTTCGAGCAGTACCATTGTCTGGTTTGTGAACTGCGGGGCAAACGGGTTGGAGGAGGATGAGACCTGGTAGGTGTAAGAGTTCTTCGGGGAGATTGTCCAGAAGAAGGATGCGAGAGAGTCGTTTGCGGATTGTGAGTAGTTTTGGTATGGGTAGCAGCGCCACGTCGATGGGTTGGCGGTGCATCCAGTGTTGGACTCTAACAGAGCCGTATTGAAGGCGAATGAGCCAGATGGAAATAGGGTGGTTGAGTTGGTGGTGGTATCTGGCGTTGTTGAAGGGGATCTTGAGAAGTGTTAGTGGTGATGTAAGTGAGTTAGAGAGGAGGGAGGTTGCATACGAGCTGCGCATTCCAACAGTCAGACCGACCGACAGACCGACAATCAGACCAATTCCAAGGATAAGGGCAACTATCATGCGGTATCTGTTGCCGCGGCGAGCGATCCAGGGCCCCGTCTTGGCCTTCTCCGCAGCCGACGATGGCCCTACAGGCGTAGTGATGGGAAGGAGCTGAGACTTGTCCTTGAGAGAATTCCTGGGAGAAAGCCTGGGTGTGGATGTGCCCGAGCTCGGACGGCTGCCATAGCTGCCTGCGCTGAGTAGGCTGCGCGTGCTCAGAGTGCTTAGAGTACTGTCGCGAGACGAGCTGCGAGAGTAGGCCGGGGGAGGATAGGACGGATGTGAGTTGATAGCTCGTGGTACTGGCGAGCGGCCGTAGTATTTCGGTTTCGTGCTGCGGCATGGCGGTGGTGGAGGGAGGGCAGCCATGTTTGGGTGTGTGACGGCGGGAAGTGAGTCGTCTTCGGCAATGACAGGCATGCGGCCAACGGATGAGAATGCGGTACGGCTTGAGCCCGGCGAGAAGGGTGACTTGGGCATCTTGTCGTTGGGTCTAGATTACACAGCGGTGGTGTAGTTGGTTTCGATGTGCGACAGCCTGTCTGCTGTTATACAAGACAGACAATCGACGTAAGATTACTCCCAAGTCGCTGAAATGGGTGTACAGCAACGAAATTGCTGTAATGTCGTCACTCTTGGTCTCTACTGCCTTGGCGTTGTTGGGTGCAGATGGTGTCAAATCTCCAGTACGTAAAGCGGGCGTAAAGAACGATATGAGTCGTGATTCTTGAGACAGAATGGGAGTACAAGAACTTAAGACTACCCAATTACAAGGAACCGAACTGATAGAATGTAGAGACGGATGCGGCTCACTGAACCAAGGATCTGGGTTTGTTACGCAGTGATGTCGAGATCTAGAGTGCTGGTGCCCGTTTAACGATCTCAGACATGCGGCTTCATATAAGACTCCAGCATGCCGGAAAAGTCGGCTATCGAGAATATCGCGTGGCAGCAGTTCTCGTTTGTTTTTCTCTGGCTGGCGATTCAGCTAACGTCTGAGGAACAAAGAATGTCGGACGGTTTACGGGGTGATGGTCAACGACCATGAACCGAGTCCCGGCAGACAAAGAACTGGTGCGGAGAGGGGACCAAGAGCAAAGGATGCTACGTTTGAGATTTTGTGCCTTGAAAAGCTCGAGTTAACAAGAGATGGAAACCCACCCGTTTGCCGCAGTGTAAGCCACTCCTTGGCTCCGGACGATGAACGACTTCGTCTAGATTCCCCCGAGAGGGGTCCTGTCTCGTCGCATGGCACACCCTAAGGGCTGAGCACACAACATGTGGGATCAAGGTGCGTGAAGCATGGCAAACCCATGTACTTGCATTTCAGCTGGGTTCTGGCACTTGCCCGTCTGGAAGCGTTTGCAGTCCGACGTGCTGCTCTGTGATCGACAACAGGAACGGCTTCTTTCCGAGCAGGGATCGCGGGCGCGATGTCACAGGGGTTCTCGATCTGGCAGGCTTTGGCGGAACAGCCAGGCATGTCGATTTTCTCATCGACAATTCGACGCTAGGCAGTAGCGAACAAAACGGGGTGGTCGGGAAGATACAGACCTGCCGCCATGCTTTCACGGTTGATGGAACGGCTGCAGAGAACAATGGGGTGGAGAGGAGTCGTCGACGTCGAGAATATCCTTCAGAAGTCCAGCTCGCGGCGGCCCAGCAAATAGTCTTGACGATAGCGCCAGTCTGGTCGAGCCATCATTGGTGGTTGGCACCAGACTAAGATACCGCTAACCACTTCGAGCCACAAAAGACAAGGAAACTCATGAGAAGTTGTCAGGAACCACTCGACGGCGTCAAGCCACCAAAACTTGAGCCCGGGTGCCAGATGGGGATGGGCAAACAGCGCCAGAGCACCTCTGACCAGGGCTAAATTTTGCGGGACCTTGATCTGTCAGCGTGGGGTTGAACGAGGAGGGATCTGAAAACTCTTTGGCATTC